CTAGCTCACGTCCTTCTTGGGAAACGGACAGACAGACGAACACAGAGGCGACGGCATAAGCCCGCTTATATAGCTTTTAAGCAAAAGAGCGGGCTAAAAAGAACAAAAACAAAAACATTTCCGAGCCTGCCTAATTTGACATGTGATTGTGAATAAAACATATTCTAATTCCTTAAATGGACAATTACAGACTTTTAAAACTAAAATGAAGCAAACCTAAACTAACAAAACCTAGCTCAATACAGGAAATCAGTAATCATGTTATGGATTTTTGTGATCACGGCATTTGCGTATTTTGTGTGACTGTATGAATAAATGCTTGGGATAGAACGTCTTTTGTGATGAAATTCAGCTCATCAAGTAGGACGCAACATAACTCGAAATGATATGTGACAACTCAATCCGTCACAATGCCTACAATAGCTGTCTTCAAGAATCTGGAAACGTTTATTAATCTTACCAATGTAAGGACTATAATGAGCAGCAAAACTATTTTAGTAAATTAAATTCTAATATTAAAGAGGGGAAAAATATTTGCGTCATATACTATGACTCAATCGACAACTACAATGTTACCAAGCTTTTATTGGATGGCGAAGATTAATACTATATGAGCTAATGTATGTTTAAAGGAAGCAATCAGGGATTGTAGCAAACAAAACAATTTAACAATAAACTAAATCTTTAATAATGAACATTTATAAATATTTGAAAATGTAAGAATTATGACTAAACAATTATCAGTCAATACATATTTAACAGGTCATAGTTCAGTCCATACCACTAAGAATAGTTCAGTCCATTAGTTCAGTCCATTAACACTAGCAGTAGTTCAGTCATTTAGCAGAGCATGAGATCAATTTGAAGGACCAGGACGATTTGACTCTATGGCAGCAACGCCAGCGAGTGTAGTTTGATTCAATTCTGTAACAAAAATAATAAAATTAGTTCATGCATTATTTAAGTAAATATACAACAAATATAGTATTTACCTTCACCATCCAACAAAAGTTTGGTCACATTGTAATTTCCAATTGACCCATAATAAACAACACGAATGTTTTTCCCTTCATTGATGTCGGAATTCAATTGATTAACAAACTCGGGCTCCTTGTTGTCATAATCCTTACAGAGGTATACATAAAATACAAATGTTTCGAGATCCTTGAAGACGGCTATGGTCTTAATAGCAATTTCACCAGTGATTGCATCAGGAAATTTAGATTTTTCTTGGTATAGAAAGTCAACTTTGTATTCTTGTCCACGAATCATGGTTTTCGCATTCCTCAACTTAGCACCTGCTGGCTTTGAAGGACTGGACATCTGAAAAAAAGGGACCACATTGTGAATACAAATCATTTTGTTTGATTATTTTACTCTTGTGAAGCCAATGAAGGTATAAAAAGAAAACCAGCTCAGTTAAACTAAATCTTCGATCAAGTGACTCAAAAGAAGTACAGCCTACAGCCTCACATTACCTTCACTGGCTTCATAAGAGAAGAGTACCATTTAACTATACAACAAATGAATAATCATGCATATACGTTCATCGTCCGAAAGCATTGGATAAAATGTAAACGCAAATTTACGAACCCAATTACAATGAAAGCATGATAAAGAAATGTGAAGAAACTCATGATAGAAAGAAATAAGGAAAGCAACGTGCAGATTGATCCACGTGATTAGCTAGGTTAACAACATGGAATAACGGCCCACAGGACACGCGTTTATGCGGTTTCGATCAGAAGAAGCACTGCGGTATCTACCGCCAATTTCTATTCAACTCTAATGAAATGCAGCAAACAGAGTAAAAAAATCTAAATTAATGCTAGATATCAACACGACAAAATAAAAACGAAACGTTGCGCGAGCATGGGAAGCCTGAACCTAGTCACAGCCTATATAACATTAACACAAATGGCAACAGACACGAATATAAACCCATATTTAAACACCGCTTAATAATATAACAGACTAACCTTGCTTAACACAACTGGAACACAAACTCACTGGGACTAAAAAACAAGCGTAACTGCCTGACACGACACGACAGACGTTTGACAGGAGTGACAGGAGTAGACAGTCACATTATGGAAAACCGGTACTTATACCATCAGAAAGATGGAGGGGGGGGGGGAGAGAAAGAGAAAGATGAAAACAAAAGAGAGCGCAAAGATGAAAAACAAAAAGACCTACATGCAAACATGATAAAACAAAATAATACCAAAGTCATGCATTTCATGCATTATACAAAATATATAAAACTTACAATTGTTTTTTTAACGCTAATTAACAACCAACACACTGATCTCATAAGCAGTAATGTCAATTAGGTCACTTAAAACACGTTTACTAAGCTCGACGCAGCCGCCAACACTGACAAGATACTGCTGACGGCAAAATGAACTCTTACACGCAATTTTCCTGTTTACCATGCACCAAGGCAGTTTATCATAAAATTGACAAATCGCCTCAACGTCACTATCAAAATCTAGATTTCCGACGAAAAATTTTGAGATGATAGAATTAATAAAATCAAGTCCAACTTGGGACATCAACTCGACCAACTCAGTAACTTCGACTGGTGGGCCGCTGTTTTTGTTATTACTAGGAATGGACGCAAACTCCACAACCAGCGCAATTTTAGGATTAAGACATTCAAATTCCATATCAATGTAATACAGGTCAAATCTGCTAGATATTACTAATTTAAACTTGGTTGTGAGACAAGTAAAGTCACTCCGTAACCTGATATCACCGGTGTGCTCCAAACAACCAACATCAAGAACCATTCGATTTACAAATTGATTAGAATTACAATAAGTCCGAATTAACTATTTTGCTCTTTTAATATTACAATCGATTATCAAAATTACTTACATAATTGTTTGTTATGCAGCTCTACTTTGAAATTTTTTTTTGACTCTAACACTTTTGATGTGTTTATATTCAGCAGCCTCTTGCTACAGAAAGGTTCAAGTAAGATAGAATTTAATGCTTTTGCTCTGGATACAGCTACAAAAGTCAAGCCAGGAGTCATTTCCTTCTGTGAGCCTATATTGATCTTGACCTTCCAATGAAAATATGTGTATTCAAAATAAAATGATCAAAGCAATTGTTATCACAGTTGCAATACATAAAGATTGACATATGTCTGCATACCTTTGCTAAGGTAAGTCCCTGTGACTTGTGTATTGTCACAGCAAAAGCCACTTGAACAGGGAATTGACTCCGACTGCATGATGTTCCATTATAATCCCATGACCGTGTGATAATTGGAATTGGTACTAATTTCAGATTGATGTCATTACCAATGTACGGCCCTTTGTAATTATCAAAAACACACATTAATACTTTGGGCACAGCTTCAGATGGGTTATTGGGTTGATCAAAAACAACATCTACTAAATGACCCATTGCGCCATTAACGAGACCTTGCTCTGTCCATTGATTGGATCTAAGCATAATTCTGCATGATGGAGCAAGAAGTAAATTTGCAGCAAGCCCACCAGCCTGATTGCTACTTCCACTTTTAGCAGTATCAGAATTATGGTCAGCATTAATAGAAACCACTGGAACAGGTTTGTTATCTGCCTGTGACTTGAGACTGGTCAGGTAGTTAAGATTCGCAAGAGCTACTTCATCCTTTGTTGGGAAAAGACACAATGCAGATTTGAATGATTGTCTTTCATCATATGTTACAGAAGTGGTAAATCTTTTCTGCAGAACTTCAAAATCATCTTGAGTGACTTCGCCTTTACTAAGTCTACTCAATAAGGAAGTGAATTCTACATCAGTTTGCCTGTGAACTTGATGCAAAAATAAACTAGCCTCAACACTGTCCCATACAAATTTACCATGCTGTTTTAATGGCTCATCAGTTGCAATCTTAGCACTATACAGTGGAGTATCCTTGACAGGAGGCAGCTGATGTATATCACCTGTAAAATAAATCAGAACATGATTGCAATGTTACCAACGATTAGTAAGTAACATTCATATTATTTTTTAAAAATTTACCAAAAAAATACACAAACAAGCCACCGAAAATGTCTGAATAATTGCCAGTTGCTTGTTTTAGCCTCTTATCTATCATGGCCAACATTCCACAACCTATCATGCTAAATTCATCAATTACAATAAATTTAACATCTC